AATGGCTGAATCATGGCAAGGGCTTACGAGTTGATACGGAAAGCCTCATTTCTTTGAGCATTAGCAAAGCATACAAGGATGACGTATGGTGTGACATCATCCCTATGGATGCGTGTCACATACATTTGGGACGACCTTGGTTATTTGATCATCGTGTGCAACATGACGGTTATGCCAACACCTCAACTTGGCTAAACAAACAGCCACAAAATCCAAGACACTTTGACCCACACCCACACCCTTCAACCCCCCTTTGTTTCCCCCATATCCTGCCCAGGAAATGCATCCAAATAGCCTATCATCCAACCTTTTCTCGTGCCCAAAAAAAGCCCCACCAAAGCCAATCAGTTGTGAATTATATTCACATATTCTCTCCTACCATTAATGGCCAAGAATCCTACCCTACAAGTACAATCACCCCTTGTGTTTTTCCCCCACCAAAGGAACATCAACAAGTGGCCATTAATTCCTTTAGTTTGTGTGAATAAGAGACTTGGTAGTCTCCTTTTTCTATGCCTATATAAGCTCATCCCTGAGCATTCTAAACACACATTGTATTCCCATTTTCAACTTAGTAATACACTTGTTTGTGTGTGCTATTTTAAATCCCTAAATCTATATCATAAGAGTGGTTCTCTTGAGTGTGAGTTTTAGGTTCTAGTTATATAGATAAGTGTGTCATATCTTATTTAAATACTAGACTCAACCCCAAGTTAAGATAAGAGTGTGTAATATCTCTTAACCCAAACTTGATAATATCTATCCCTGATTTTCTACCACCCTATATCCCTCCATTTCTCACTCTAAACCCCCTTCTTTTCGTCCCTTAAGCCAGAAAGCACCCTATCATTCCTTCCCATAACTTCCCTACCCACCCCAGCCATTTTCCTTCCATATTGAAACCTCAAGTAACCCTGCTAATCGATTATCCTTCACTGATAATCGACTATCCGACACCCCTGAACTTCCTTGGTAGAATCCGAAAACCAAAATAATCTATTATCAACTATTGATAATCGACAATCCTGCCTTTCTGAATTTTCTTGGCCTAAACCACACAATCCCACAATCGATTATTGCTTAAGTGATAATCGACTTTTCCCCCTCCCTGAACTCCCAATAATCTTCCCGAAAAACTGAACCCCTTGTTAGTAAAATATCATACCTTAATAATTGATTATCTCTTTCTTCTGCAATTTAAGAAGCTTTGTTCTTATACTAAAACCCTTATCCCGGAGCTCGGGTATAACATTTGGTATCAAAGCTAAGTGTTGGACACAAGGGCCATTCACCATCCCTACCAAGAAGTAAGCATTTTTGAGCTCAAAACTCCCTTCCTCTCTCCCTAAACCCCACAGCCAAACTAAACTGCCCTTCTCACCTTTTTCCCACTTCAACCATGTCAAATGAATCCCAACCCATGTCCCATAAAGAGCTTGTTTCCTCCAACGTAGCCTTGAAGGCCCAAGTTGAATACTTGGTCAAAGAAGTGGCTAAGCTCACCAAGAAGATAAAGCTCAACGCCCTTCAAGGAAGTGATCATGAGGATGATGCTAGCACCAGTAGCACCAACAAGGCCAAAACTAATGACGGGTCTGACTTCAAGGTTGATGTCCCAACTTTTGAGGGAAAGAACGACCTGGACGAATTTCTAGAATGGCTAGAGACGGTGGAACGCGTTTTCGATTTCAAAGAAGTCTCTGATGAGAAGAAGGTCAAGATAGTGGCCTTAAAGTTCCGCAAGGATGCATCTACTTGGTGGACTGATACGTGCACCAAATGGAGAAGAAACAACAAGGAGCCGGTGGCTACATGGGCCAAAATGAAGTCTCTCTTAAAGAAGAAGTTCTTGCCCGCTGAATATGTTCGTGAGAATTTTGCCAAGTTTCAAACGCTTAAGCAAGGTTCTAAATCGCTTGAAGAATACACCCGGGAGTTTGAGGAACTCTTGGTAAGGTGTGACTTGCAAGAAGATGATGAGCAAACCTTTGTACGATACTTATTCGGCTTAAACCTACAAATAGCCAATACTGTAGAGTTGCAAAGTTATGAATCCTTAGAAGAGCTTACCAAATTAGCCCTTAAGGTTGAAGCACAAATAAAGAAATCCAAAGTCCTTCTTTCCAAGGGTAACTCCTCCTACACACGGCCCAACCCCACTTTCCAAAAGCCAAACTATCCCCCATCCAAAGCACCCTTCAACTCCACCAAAACTACCCTTACCACCCACGGATCCCTCCCCTCTCCCTCACCTAAGAACTCCTCCTCCTCTCTTCCTCCTAGAACGGACTCGGCAAGGAAAGCACCCATTTGCTTTCGATGTCAAGGACGACGAGGTCATTATGCTAACGAGTGCCTGACAGTTGTAGTTTTTCGGGTAGTAAACCTTCCCAATAAAGGGTTAGTTTTTTCTCCGAATGTTGTATCTCTCGAGGAGTGGACGAAGGGAATTAGTTTAATTACTCTAACTAGGCGAAGGTTAGGACTGGTTTATGAAAGTCTTCTCGGAGCGATTGTAAAAAAGGAGCGGAGTAAAAATATTAAATTAATTTTACATTGTATAAGTGTAGATCTGGACCTAGGGTCTGGACATCATTTGGATCTATTTTATCATATTAAATAAACAATTGGAATAATAATATTTCTATTACTACTCATCCATTTCTAGATTTGTACTTAATCCGTTGTACTTGAATATCATAGCCTTTTGGCATACAATATTTTCTCAATAGCTAGCTAATTAAATCTTTCGAGAATAATTAACTAAATAAGGCAAGAACAATAGATTAACCATTCCAACATTAATTTAACATAAAAAATAAACAACCAAACTAGTCCGGACCCAGAGATCCGGACCCTAACTCATACTATGCAAACATAAATTAAAACAACATTTTATTAAATAAAGAGAACTTACAACTTCCGTACAAACGGATTTGAACAGATCGGGAATCAAACCCTCCGGAAAATACTTCAAAACAACAATTAAACTAATCTACAATGAAATATTGATCAAATTGAAGGAGAAACCTGAAATGGGGTTGAGATTGGTAGAGTAAATCCCGAAGTTGGGATGAAGTTGGATGATAAAAATGAGAGGGATCGAGCTGTATTTATAGGACAGAGGCCGAGGCGTCCAAGTCAAAGCGTCCAAGTCCAGGCGTCCAGATCGGGACGCTTGAGCTGCTCCGGCCAACCAGAACCAGGTTTTGCCACATGTCTTCCTTGGTCTGCAATCCAGCCAAGGCGTCCAACTCCAAGCGTCCAACTTGGCCAAGCGTCCAAGTTGGACGCCTTGAGGCCTTAGTCCGTTGGGCTTCGTGGCTGTTACGAGATCTTGGCCCAATTTTACTGATTTTCGGCCCGAACATCGATTTTACCTTCTCGGAAGCTCGTTCAAGCCCGAAACTTGATCCTTTGATGATTTATTCCCTTTTTCTCAAGCATTTGAACATAAAATGGATAATTTATGATGATTTTATGTGGAATCCCTTTTCATGACTCTTAGAACGAAAATGAGAGTTTTATCCATCGAAATCACATTTTAAGAGATAATTAAATATTATTTACGTGCAATAACGTTTAAATATGATGTAAATGATAAGAACGAAACGGACTTATCAAATTCTCACACTTAAACGTTGCTTGCCCTCAAGCAACAAATTGAATAATTACAAGTATAAAGGCAAATTAATAATTGCAGAGGGGAAGTTTAACCACATATTATGAAGGAAAGAAGAAATAAAATAGTCATCAACCTTTTTGTTAAGAATAAATGAACCTTTAAAGTCTCACCCATATTGTTAGAAATGTAAAAGAATTTTGTCAAACCAATATTTTTACACCAACCTAAACAACCAAAATTTTCTAAACTTTCTTTGGGATAACTACATTTGTAAGAGTACTTTAAAGATCAAATAATTTTTTTAATGGCTAAATTGGAAAACATGTTCTTGCAAAAGTATTTGTCAAAGTGTAAGGGTTTAATTTTCTTTGGCATAACTTTGTCATGTTGACACGAGAAAAATTTATAACCTCATCCCGTGACGTAGAACCACGAGCTTTTTGGATATTCACTCTGGAAAGTCTCATCACACGACATAGAACCGCATGCTTTTTGACTCTAACACTCAAAAGGCCTCATCACGCAATATAGAACCACGCGCTTTTTGGCATACTCACCAAGCCTCATCAATTGACATAGAACCAACTGCTTTTTGGCTAAAACAAGAATCTCGGTCTCACCAAAGTATGCTTTTAGATGTCACCCTTTATACTTTGAAAATAACTCTTTTTAAGAAACACAAATTCTCATAAGAGCATCAGCAAAAAGATTTTCAAAAAATTAATTGATCTAAAAAAAACTCTTAATAAATTGTGAATTTATCCCAAATCATTTTAGAAAACATTCCCAAAAAGGTTAGAGTAAAAATAGAAGTTTGACAAAAAATTTAAAAATTTCCAATTTTTACGGGTGATAACTAAAGATTAATTAATCAAACAATTAAAATTGATGACTATTCTATAAAAATCTTTTCCTAAAAATATATAGACAAAACAATTCCTAAACAGACCATTTCAACAAAGAACTCTTGCCTCCTCACACTTAAACGAAACCACGCCCTCGTGGTTTAAGAGTGTTATTGGTATTGGAGTTAATTGTTGAAATGCTCACATGCAATCACTAAGTTATCTAAATACTTACAAAATTCAACAATGAGGATTGAAATAATAGATAACCATAACATGTAAATATGAAATCATGCATAAAATTTTCTCAAAATGGGTTTAAGAGTCATAATGTGAAATTCCAAAATAAGATCATATAATTTTCCTAAAAAGATCATTTCAACCACGAACTCTTACCTCCTCACACTTAAACGGAACCACGCCCTCGTGGTTAAAGGTGTTTCAGAATTAGAGTTAATGGTTGAAATGTCCATATGCAATTACTAAGTTATCTAAATACTTACAAAATTCAACAATGAGGATTGAAATAATAGATAACCATAACATGTAAATATGAAATCATGCATAAAATTTTCTCAAAATGGGTTTAAGAGTCATAATGTGAAATTCCAAAATAAGATCATATAATTTTCCTAAAATCATATAAATATCCAAAAATGATGTTCTGAATGTAGTATTAAGAAATTAGGGATCTCACTATCCCTGACGTTTGCCTTGTTTAGGACCTGCCCCATGCTCAGCCTTCTTTGTTCCTTGTTCCCGGGTGTATTCAAGTATTTCCTCCACCTGCCATTGTTGCGTGAGAAGGAGCGTCTCCATGCTCCTTAAGCGAGAGTCTACAGAATCCTGGAATGCAAACATAGCCTGTGAAAGCTTGCGAAGGGTCATGGGAATTGTATGCTGCTCTCTGGGGCGTGCCTCCTTGTCCTCCTAATTATAAGCAATCTGGGTCAAGTACCGTGTCGACGGTTGGAACATGCTTGCGGCTTCTGGGAGAACATCAGGGACTGTCATACATAATCCTCGGGCCAGAAGTGTAACCATTGGTCCACACAAGACAAACTGGTGGTTGCAAGTTGATTGGGCAAATAAGAATCGAGCCACAAAAGTTGCCAGATTGACTGGTACGCGTGCTTCCAGACTCCAGAAAAATAGCATATCAGAATCAAACACCACGTCAGAGCCATGAGAATGGCCGAAATAGCTATGAGTCAATGCATGGTGTAAAATTCTCCAAGACGGACGCACCCAATTCCTAGCTATGCTTGCTCCACTGTGATATCGTCCATACCCGTGAGCTTGCTAGAACTTCCTCACATCGAACTCTGGATCCAACTGATCAGGCAGATTAGCGAAGGTCAAGCTCCGCGTTTCATCAAGTGTGTAAAGACCAATCAGCCACCCCAAGTCTGCCACAGTAAGGCTCAGAAGTCGTCCCATCAGAGTGAATGTGAGCTTGGTGGTGGAGGTGACTTCAGCTGTTGACTTTACTTCCTCTCCGTCATTGAGGAAGCGGAGAGAGCAAAGAAACTCGATGGTGACTTCCAGGCTTGCTGTGCTTGTAGGAACAGCAAGATCCTCCACTTTGGGTTGTACAGAAACTCGTCAATGTCCTGCCAGTGCCCTAGTTCATCCAGATAGGCAGGGTCTAGCACCATGGAAGGCTGGAGCATCTTCGTGTTTCCCCAAGTGAGAAACTTCTTCTTTGCTTCCTCTGAGTGCAAGGGGAGCTCTTCCAGGATCAGTAATGTGCGGCGGTTTCCATGCGGAATCATCTAAGCAACATCCATCTGTAAAATAGAAAAACAAGCAACGAGTAAAACCTTGCCCCCAACTGATGCGGAAAGTAAAAACAAATAAAATAGGTTATTTAAATATTGAATGACGGGTTGCCTCCCGTTAAGCGCTTCTTTAACGTCCGTAGCTTGACGCTCACCCACTTTTTCCGTGACTTTCCAATCCGAGAGTCATAAAGTTTGGCCCTTTTGACTCTATTCTGATGCCACCCTGTTTGAATTTTCGCTCGGTCAAGGTCCAGGATCCTTGACTCGTCCCTGCGGCTTGGTGGCAACAGGATAAAAGGAGGAGACTCTAGATAGGTGGGTGGTGGCGGAAGTCTCCTCAGTTGTTCCACATCATTGGCCTTCATAGCAAGATTGATTTCTTCCTTGTCTTCAATTGGCTGACTATCCATTTGTGGTTTGATGATTATGATTGTACCCTCCCCCAAGGAAGAGTCCTCGTCGTCACTCTCCAGAAGTTCATCCCAACTCTTTAAGCTCAAACCATCCTTCGGGCAGACACAGTCATACCCGTCAAGTAGGGAGTCAAAGAAAGTATGGTCTGAATCATCAGACGAATCATTGGTTGCGTAGGTTTCTATAGACGGAGTTGGCTTTTCTTCATCTAAAGGTTCCTCCTTAAACTCGTGGACATTGGAATCTTGGGGGCTTGTAGTGGGCTCTATCTCCTCCAGAACAGGTTCCTCTGGAGGTGTGTCTTCAACACAATTAAGGAGATGGTCGTTTATTGCTAAAGGCAAAACTTCCTCCTCCTTTTCTTGAACGAGCGTAGGTCGTTCTGAGTCAGGTCCCTCAATTGGTTCCACCTCATGTACGACTATGCTGGTTGGGACTTGGCTAGGAGAGTATTCAGGTAACATCGCCAGAGTAGCCCTAGCGAGAGTTGTTATGCTCTCGGGTTTCTGTGGTAGTGCTGGTCTGGGTGAATCTTCTAGAACTGGAACCTGATGGTTGGATGGTTCAGGGTTGGTCTTAGGTTCTAGAGCCTCTTTTTGAACATTAATCTCCCTCATTTGATCTTGAGATTGGAGGGAGCGTTTAAGTTCAACAGCCTTGGAGAGATCATTGACTAACTTGTCAGCTTTAGCCTCAGCTTCTAGTCTCTCTCTTTGAAAGTTGTCCAGCATTTTTTGCATCATTTCTGATCCTTCGCATAATCTCTGTTGGAACTCCTTTTCCTTCCGGACTGATTCGAGAAGTTTTGCTCTTTCTCGAATTGCCACCTAGTTTGCTTCAATTTGTTCTTCCGCAAATAGGGTGTAGTCACGGGAGTAGGGTGGTTCGTACCAGGAGCCTTCAGCGAATAAAACTTCGTCGAAATAGAAGATTTTCTGTTCTAGTCTTATTATTTCTTCGACGAGAGGATCAGGTTGATCGTCGTATATAGGCCCGTTGTGGTCATAGTCATCGTGATCACCATGAGGTTCATAATAATCTTCCCCATCAGAGTCTTGGTACGGAGAATATCCAAAGTTCTCAGATGGGGTATCATATGGTGGTTCCTCATGGTAGGGATAGTAGTCAGACCCATTGTTGACTTGGTAGTCATCATCGTATGGGTTCTGATGCGGGTGGTAAGGCGAATGGGTTTGGTACGGAGGGCGGTTGGGTGATTGGTAGAAAGAAGGCGGACCGTAATAACCACAAGGGTTATCCATAATAATTATTACGGGTGGCTGGTGAAAAAGAAGTGAGAAGATCGTTCTAACCAATCTTCACCCAAGCTAATAAGAAGAAATTAAACTAATGTCGTGCCACTCCCCGGCAACGGCGCCATTTGACAGTTGTAGTTTTTCGGGTAGTAAACCTTCCCAATAAAGGGTTAGTTTTTTCTCCGAGTGTCGTATCTCTCGAGGAGTGGACGAAGGGAATTAGTTTAATTACTCTAACTAGGCGAAGGTTAGGACTGGTTTATGAAAGCCTTCTCGGAGCGATTGTAAAAAAAGAGCGGAGTAAAAATAATAAATTAATTTTACATAGTATAAGTGTAGATCTGGACCTAGGGTCTGGACATCATTCGGATCTATTTTATCATATTAAATTAACAATTGGAATAATAATATTTCTATTACTACTCATCCATTTCTAGATTTGTACTTAATCCGTTGTACTTGAATATCATAGCCTTTTGGCATACAATATTTTCTCAATAGCTAGCTAATTAAATATTTCGAGAATAATTAACTAAATAAGGCAAGAACAATAGATTAACCATTCCAACATTAATTTAACATAAAAAATAAACAACCAAACTAGTCCGGACCCAGAGATCCGGACCCTAACTCATACTATGCAAACATAAATTAAAACAACATTTTATTAAATAAAGAGAACTTACAACTTCCGTACAAGCGGAATTGAACAGATCGGGAATCAAACCCCTCCGGAAAATACTTCAAAACAACAATTAAACTAATCTACAATGAAATATTGATCAAATTGAAGGAGAAACCCGAAATGGGGTTGAGATTGGTAGAGTAAATCCCGAAGTTGGGATGAAGTTGGATGATAAAAATGAGAGGGATCGAGCTGTATTTATAGGACAGAGGCCGAGGCGTCCAAGTCAAAGCGTCCAAGTCCAGGCGTCCAGATCGGGACGCTTGAGCTGCTCCGGCCAACCAGGTTTTGCCACGTGTCTTCCTTGGTCTGCAATCCAGCCAAGGCGTCCAACTCCAAGCGTCCAACTTGGCCAAGCGTACAAGTTGGACGCCTTGAGGCCTTGTTCCGTTGGGCTTCGCGACTGTTACGAGATCTTGGCCCATTTTCACTGATTTTCGGCCCGAACGTCGATTTTACCTTCTCGGAAGCTCGTTCAAGCCCGAAACTTGATCCTTTGATGATTTATTCCCTTTTTCTCAAGCATTTCAACATAAAATAAAGAATTTATGATGATTTTATGTGGAATCCCTTTTCATGACTCTTAGAACGAAAATGAGAGTTTTATCCATCGAAATCACATTTTAAGAGATAATTAAATATTATTTACGTGCAATAACGTTTAAATATGATGTAAATGATAAGAACGAAACGGACTTATCAGTGCCCAACAAAAGGTGATGGAAATCGTTAAATGTGATGAAAAAGAATTTGATCCAACTTGGGCTGAAGAGAACATGGAAGAAAACAAAGAGCAAGATGAATGCATTGGCCCGGTGAAGGAGAGCTCTTGGTCATTCGAAGGACTTTGAGTACCATAGCATGTCCTGAAGAACAATTGCAATGGGAGAACATTTTAACACTCGTTGCACCGTACAAAAGAAGGTGTGTTCTTTTATCATTGATAGCGGGAGTTGCACTAACGTGGCTTCCAAAACTATGGTGGACAAGCTGCACTTAAAAACTTCACCGGATCATAAACCATACACGATTCAATGGCTGAATCATGGCAAGGGCTTAGGAGTTGATACGCAAAGCCTCATTTCTTTTAGCAGTGGCAAAGCATACAAGGATGACGTATGGTGTGATATCATCCCTATGGATGTGTGTCACATACTTTTGGGACGACCTTGGTTATTTGATCATCGTGTGCAACATGTCGGTTACGCCAACACCTCAACTTGGCTAAACAAACAGCCACAAAATCCAAGACACTCTGACCCACACCCACACCCTTCAACCCCCCTTTGTTTCCACCATATCCTGCCCAGGAAATGCATCCAAATAGCCTATCATCCAACCTTTTCTCGTGCCCAAAAAAAGCCCCACCAAAGCCAATCAGTTGTGAATTTTATTCACATATTCCTTCCTACCATTAATGGCCAAGAATCCTACCCTACAAGTACAATCACCCCTGTGTTTTTCCCCCACCAAAGGAACATCAACAAGTGGCCATTAATTCCTTTAGGGGGGTGTATTGAGCTTGGACTTTAAAGGCTTTTTTTTGGATTTTAAAATTCTATGGGTATTCAATTCAGATTTTTAAAAGTCATTTAAAATCTAAATGTATTCAATTCAGATTTTAAAAAGTCATTTAAAATTTGGTTGTATTGAATTTGGATTTTAAAAATTCTATCTAATCTAAATCTATAGATATTCAACACTAAATGAATTTTTAAAGATTTATATTCTACATGGATTTTAATGGATTTGAAGATAGAAATTTCAATAAAAAGTCTATAAACAAATCCCTACTCCAAACCAAAGATTTTAAGAATCTGGCGGTCGTCACCCCATGGTCTCCGATCCTCTCTCTCTTTCTCTCAAGATCACAGTGTCCGGCGGCAGATCTGTAGGAGGAGCTTTGCCGGTCCTTCACTGCGTGCGCTAGTTCCCGGAGAGACCTAGACCTAGGCCTTCAAAGGAACGACTTAAGCGTGTTCTAGCAGGTCTCCAAACTTAGCCGTAGGTGGAAGAACCTAGACAGTAGAAGAAGATAGGAGTACAGTAGAAGAAGCCGAAGAGAGCTAGAAAGTAGAAGGCAGGAAGGTGAGCGGTCAGCCTAACTACATGGATTTTAAAGATTCCACAAAATTTTTAAATTCTCCATGGATTCTACAAAAAATCAACCAAACTCTACATGGATTTTACAAATTTTTCAAATCTACTAACTTTTTGAAATCTAAAAAAATCTAATAAAATCCTAATTGAATACACCCCCCTTAGTTTGTGTGAATAAGAGACTTGGTAGTCTCCTTTTTCTATGCCTATATAAGGTCATCCCTTAGCATTCTAAACACACATTGTATTCCCATTTTCAACTTAGTAATACACTTGTTTGTGTGTGCTATTTTAAATCCCTAAATCTATATCATAAGAGTGGTTCTCTTGAGTGTGAGTTTTAGGTTCTAGTTATATAGATAAGTGTGTCATATCTTATTTAAATACTAGACTCAACCCCAAGTTAGGATAAGAGTGTGTAATACCTCTTAACCCCAAATTGATAATATCTATCCCTGATTTTCTCCCACCCTATATCCCTCCATTTCTCACTCTAAAACCCCTTCTTTTCGTCCCTTAAGCCAGAAAGCACCCTATCATTCCTTCCCATAACTTCCCTACCCGCCCCAGCCATATTCCTTCCATATTGAAACCTCAAGTAACCCTGCTAATCGATTATCCTTCACTGATAATCGACTATCCGACACCCCTGAACTTACTTGGCAGAATCCGAAAACCAAAATAATCTATTATCAACTATTGATAATCGACTATCCTGCCTTGAATTTTCTTGGCCTAAACCACACAATCCCACAATCTATTATTGCTTAAGTGATAATCGACTTTTCCCCCTCCCTTAACTCTCAATAATCTTCCCGAGAAACTGAACCCCTTGTTAGTCTATTATCATACCTTAATAATTGATTATCTCTCTCTTCTGCAATTTAAGAAGCTTTGTTCTTATTCTAAAAGCCAAATCTCGGAGCTCGGGTATAACATTTGGTATCAAAGCTAAGTGTTGGACACAAGCCCATTCACCATCCCTACCAAGAAGTAAGCATTTTTGAGCTCAAAACTCCCTTCCTCTCTCCCTAAACCCCACAGCCAAACTAAACTGCCCTTCTCACCTTTTTCCCACTTCAACCATGTCAAATGAATCCCAACCCATGTCCCATGAAGAGCTTGTTGCCTCCAATGCAGCCTTGAAGGACCAAGTTGAATACTTGGTCAAAGAAGTGGCTAAGCTCACCAAGAAGATAAAGCTCAACGCCCTTCAAGGAAGTGATCATGAGGATGATGCTAGCACCAGTAGCACCAACAAGGCCAAAACTAATGACGGGTCTGACTTCAAGGTTGATGTCCCAACTTTTGAGGGAAAGAATGACCTGGACGAATTTCTAGAATGGCTAGAGACGGTGGAATGCGTTTTCGATTTCAAAGAAGTCTCTGATGAGAAGAACGTCAAGATAGTGGCCTTAAAGTTCCGCAAGGATGCATCTACTTGGTGGACTAATACGTGCACCAAATAGAGAAGGAACCACAAGGAGCCGGTGGCTACATGGGCCAAAATGAATTCTCTCTTAAAGAAGAAGTTCTTGCCCGCTTAATATGTTCGTGAGAATTTTGCCAAGCTTCAAACGCTTAAGCAAGGTTCTAATTCGCTTGAAGAATACACCCGCGAGTTCGAGGAACTCTTGCTAAGGTGTGACTTGCAAGAAGAAGATGAGCAAACCTTTGTATGATACCTATTCGGCTTAAACCTACAAATAGCCAATACGGTATGTTGGACATGAGTTCAAACCCCTTTATTATTTTTCTGGAATATTTTTTGTTTTGATAAATGACAAAAAGGATGATGAAATTCAAACGATAATCGAAAATTTATTTTTTCGTACCGAGAAAAGAAAAGAGGCGTA